TTGACAGGTCTCTAATAGACCATAAAGCAGGGGATGCTTTAGGGCGGAGGCAAAACCCAAGATGGCGACAGACAAAATTACAAAATGCAGAACTCAAGGCTATAAAACACAAACTAGTGGTGTGGTCACTGTGACTACGTCCACTTCTTACTGTCTATAGATTCATGTGGAACCAGTTCATGTGGTATAAAACTGTCCTCGTGATAACAACAGTTGGTGTTAATGATTAATTTATCCATCTCAACACTGCTGCTGCTTGAAGGATTGATTTTTGATTTCCTCCTTACTGATCGTACTTGTTGTCGTCTCTCAGACGGTTTGACCTCGTTGTGTTCATTAATCAGTCCAGCAGACCTGCAGCATCCGTATCGGACCCCGAGGAGTCCGGTCCGGTGTTGGACCCCGAACCGCCGTCGGCCCCCAGCTGGGAGCCCATGCTATGCAGCGAGGCGGAGGACGGCCAGGCCCCTCTCTCTCTGGAGCTCCTCCACCACTCGGCCCAGACCTCCAGCCCCACTGACGCCATCGTGGTGGCCGGACACCTGCTGATGCTGGAAACCGGCTTCATTCCTCAGGTGAGAGACGACCGGGGAGGCTTCTCTTTAGTGGAGGAGATCAGTGTGTTGTTGTATGAACTGTGTGTGTGTGTGTGTGTGTGTGTGTGTGTGCGTGCAGAGCGCTGGGCTGAAGGCCTCTGAGATGCCACCAGGCTGGAGGTCCCCAGCTGGATTCTACAAGCTGCAGTACACCCACCCTCTGTGTGAGAACAGCCTGGCCATGGTGGTGTCTGTGGTCATGGGCCCCGTGCTCATCATCAACGGTCGGTTCATCGCCGTCACGTCACCAAGTTTCTCTGATCTGTTGTCACATGACTGTTGGTCTCACATGAATCAATCATGACTTCATAGTTTCACTGAGGAGCTCACAATTGAATGTTTTTGGTGTAATATCACAATCTCTTGAAGTATTAAAAGTGACAATAATAAAATGTATTTTCTCTCTTGTTGCCGCAGCGACTCTGAAGGTGAACGAATCCGTCGACACGGTTCGTAAATTGTGTCTGAAGCCGTCCAGCTACGTGACGCACGAGTGGCCAGGTAGAGCTCTGATTGGTCCACAGCTCCTGAGAGTCACAACATTAATGATGGTGGTGATGATGATGATGAAGATGATGATGTAACGTCTGGTCTCTGTTCAGGAGAAAGTGCAGCTGCAGCTTTCAGAGACCTGAACAAACTGTCCCGGATCTTCAAAGACCAGCTGGCGTACCCGCTGATCGCCGCCGCCAGAGACGGTAAAACCATGACGTCATCTTTTAGATCATTTATATAAATATTAAAGATGTAAAACATCCTGCAGACGTTCAGTGTAGACGGAGTATTCAGGAGTCTTACTTCAGTAAAAGTACCAGTTCAACGATGTAGAAGTACTTCATTTAAAGGGCAGCATTCAGGATAGAATGACTGGGGTTCGGCTGTGATGTCACTGTGATGTCACCGCGGTGTTTTCCAGCGATGGCGCTGCCGGTGGCGTTCGGTCTGGCCGCTCTTCCTCCTGAACTGGTCCTGCGAGTCGTCCGTCTGCTGGACGTCCGCTCGGTGGGGAGACTGTCTTCTGTGTGCAGACGCTTCAGCGTCTCCATGGCCGACTCCTCGCTGTGGAGACACCTGTACCGCCGGGACTTCTCAGGTGAGACGGCGGGAGGGTCACCTGACCCCCGGCGGTCCGACGTGATCGATGAATAATCACTAACGTCCTCGTGTGTTTCTGTTCAGATCGAGATGTGGGCAGGTCCAGAGACACAGACTGGAAAGAGGTCAGACACACGACCAAATATTCACCTTTTTATTTTACATTCATTTGTATCTCTTTACAATGATTTGTGTTATTTGTGTCCAGCTCTACAAAAGGTTCCATCAGATCCGCTATGAGCGTCGTCATGCGACCCGTCACAGGCCCCTCCCCCCTTTCCACCGGAACCCCTTCGCCCCCCCCGTCCCCCTGCACCCCCCTCTGCCCGGCATCATCGGGGGGGAGTACGACCAGAGACCGGGCCTCTTCCCCCCCCTCCCCCGCCTCCTCCTGCCCCCCCGGCCTCGCTACGACCCCATCGGCCCGCCGCCGGACCTCGAGAGGCTCGAGAGGAGGCCGACAGGAGGGCGGGCTGCAGACGTCCGGAGAGGATTCATCTGAGTCGACCAATCAGAGCTCCTCCTGCAGTAAATAAACAACTCGCATAATCAACAACAACAACACATTATTGTTATTATCAGAGACAGGAAGCTGCTCGTCACAAACAAACTGTTCACCAGGTGTTTGATAGTCAGTGAGGACGTCCTCCAGGTCACAGAGTTTATATATACGTGTGTGTGTGTGTGTGTGTGTGTGTGTGTGTGTGTGTGTGTGTGTG